GGCTGATTGGGACCCACACCCAGTTTCGCACCTTGGCTCAGGCGATTAGAGGATCATCAGGGGGTCCTATTGTCCCTCTGTGGGGGGTTACTCCCACTAGGTATATATCTGGGACTCTCCACAATTTGACCTTAGAACTGAAGAAGCTTCTCAGATGAGAGGTGAAACGTCTTCAAGTAATTTAAAGAAGTCCAGACGCCTTTCTTTGCAAGCTCCTTTGACTAAGCCTAGCAGACAGTAAACGTTTGTCTCCAACATTGGCACAACCTTTATTTTGGAGCCATGCTTGATCCAAGGCTAGATGTTGACTAGAAAAGACAGCCAGTAGGCAGTTTGGCAGTGTCAAAAGGTCAGGAGTTTGAGTTTCCCTCATAGTATTTTTTTTTTAAATTCGTTATGTTGTTGTAGTCCATAAATAAAAGGATAATATACAACAGTTCCTTATCAGAGACTTAATTTGTTAGAAAGTCCAACCAGAACATCTAGGTGATAAGGAGGTACGTCCAACAGACGACCCTTGCTCAACTGTCATTTTCAAAACCTTGTTTAAACAAAAGCGAGACCTTAGAAAAGTGGCTCAATGCATTTGCCTGACAAGAAAATGATCCCTTCTCTAGACCTAGGGGGGAGACACAAAACCTTTCAAGGTTGCCAGGAAGAGCATCTGGTGTCAAAATATGCCAAACCAAATAGGCAGTGCTACCTGCTGTGCTTGTGAATGGAGGACTAGTTAAAATCTTTAACCAGAATTGAGAGACAACGGTTATTCAAATTTGAAATGTTTGCTTGGTGTTATCATAATGGTTGGAAGCCACATAGTCAGATTTCATTCCAAACCTCGATAAACTGTACAGACTTCGTTGGAATACAAAAAACTAGCCATTTTCCCTTTAGAATCAAGCAAACAGCAAAGTCATTGCTGTCATACTTATAATTCAACCCTTTTCAGCAAAGAGTCTTCAACGTTTCCCTTTCTACTAATTTCATTTTGCAAAAACCCTCTATGTTCCGATAATTTGCAGCAGCAGAAATCAGAAGGAGCAATGCCCTCTTTTGGAGGTCACAAGCTGAGGAGGAGTCACCTCATGAGCCAAGATGCGGGATCCCCCCTCCTTTCTAACGCAATAAGGCAGGACACACCCAGCTACAGAGGGGAGGAGGAGGAGAAGGTGGAGATGGATGAAATGAGAAGAGAGGAAAAAGAAGCAGAACTGCTGCTGCTCCTCCTCATCCGCCCAAATAAGCCGATGACGTAAGGATGGTCCTTCCTTAATTAAAATAAAGCGCAGTCGGTAACGATTTTTCCACCCTTGTTCAATACCGCCAGCCTTGAAAACGCAGAAGTAGTATTTACAGTGCGAGTGCTAAATATGGGGGAACCACTCCAACAAGCTTAACAAGCTCATCCTGAAGGCGCCACATTCGTGTCAACAGTGTGAGGACACCACAGTGATAGAGAAATATACACAATTAATATCACAACAGGGACAAACAACCGCAGCAACCAACGCTCGCTGCTCAGAGAGCTGTTTTTAACCAACTTACCACAGGTTCTGTGTTTTTTCTGATGGTAAAAGGCGCCTTTTCCGGTTACCACTGGAAATATCACTCGGAAAGCAACACACTCAAGCCAGAGACTGTTAACAAATTGTTTCCAGGCGCCCGGAGACATCCGCGGGCGGTCTGATTCCTGCCTCGCAGCCAATGCACCAGCAGATACGTGCCTCGCTGTCGCCCGGGGAGACCTGGCACCAGAGCGCCATTAAGAATCTGCTCTTTTTGTTCTACATCTCCTTTTTGGGTTTGTGAAAACGCAATTTTGTAGCCATTAATAACAATTTACAGACCTTTTAGAAACAACCCTTCAATTCGGCATACCCCAATGACACGTAAAAATGTAATATTCAGAATAAAATAACAACTTTTACCAGCAGGCTCCTTACTTTGGCAGGCGGCAAACTAACTAGCAGTGCGTATCCAGTTCAAAAGTTGTTTTTTTCACCAAAAGTGAGTCATCGTCTGTAAATTTTACAGGTGTCTGATTAGAAACTATTGCACAATATCACAGTGTATGCTTTATGGGTATTTTAGTTTGTCGAAAAGCGTTTTAAGTTGGATTTTAAAGTCCGCATTATGAATGAAGACCCGACTGCGTTGACTGCAGGGAGGGAACGGCACGTATCGGGGCTGTAACCTAGCTAACAGCCGGGACGTTTGGCGAGGTGAAAGAGACAGAAACCGTAACTCGGGGTTTCTGAGAGACACTGTTGCTATTAGGGAGGAAAATACGCCAAGATGCGTATTAAAGTGCGTCGGACTGGGATAATTGTGCGTTCACACCTGTGGAAAATCCCAAAAATCTCCCTGTAGTTGCTAATAATTGGGTGTCAAGGTAAAGAAACGGCAGTTATGAACGTTACCCGGATGCTGAGCAGTGCGGACAACTTGGGGGGGGGGGCACGACAGACCCCTTAAAACACAGCAAAATGTCACTTTCACGGTCTCCGACAGACTAAGCGAGCCTTTCTTGGCTTTCAGCCACAAGTGAATTGAAAGATTGTACAGACTCGTGGTGAGTTAAGTTTAATTAAGAAACAAAAAAACACTGAGATTAGACGTTACCTCCACTCCGTGGATCTTCGTCCAAATCACGTCCTGTGGCTGAGTCGGAACGGTTGGGAAGCGTCTTTAGTTTAGAGGGGTTTGTCCATTTCCCAGCAGAGCTCCAACTTGAAAACTGCAGTGGCGAAAAAAATGACTGACAGGCCGGGTGGTGGTTGGTGGATAAAACCTTGAACCGTTCCTGACGTTTAAACCGTTTTTAAATACATCAGTAGGGGCACCAGCTCTGTTCCTGCAGTGGTGGCGGCAGCCCCGAGCAAGGAAAACAAACCAGATCCAGATTCAGTCAGAAACGAATCCTTTAAAAGGAGAAGATAAACTCACCCTCTCTCCCTCTCTTTTTCTCTCGCTCACTCACTCTCTCCCTCTCCTGGAATAAAAGCAGAGGAGGGAAAAGGCTCTGTTAACAAAGAGCAGATCCAGAAAATGAGGACTGGTGGTGTGTTTGTGTTGCTTAGCGGTGGGTGGAACTGGAGGGGGGTCCGGCACACTCAACCAGACCAGAGGAAACACCAAAAGTCCGGATCAGATCTTTTCCTGCCAAGCTGGGAAACTGAAAGAGAAGGAGGTGAGCTTGTGGTGGCGAGCAGGGGGGAGGGACCAGACCGGGATTGCCCTGTTTTTAAGGTGGATCTATGAATTAATTAGGTAACAAGGCAGAAACAGAGCCCTGCTCTGGAGAACAGCCCCGGGCCACAGATGCAGTCTGGAAACTCAAGGGGGGGGAGAAAAAAAATCCAGATCTGGATCTATCCCGGAGCGATGTATGGAGTCTCTTTTCAGCCAAACAAATCAAAGCATAAGACCTTGACTCATTTGTTATTATATACTATTATATACTATCATTATTTTGATTTTTTAAATATAAGATTTGACAACGAGGGATGCAAAATTAGATTTTAAGAATACTTTTGTAGCTCGTTATCTTCACCCAAACGTTTTAGTACGTTTAGAAAAACTGTTGTCAGACTAATTTTGAGTTAAAGCTTTTTAAAGACTAAAGCCATAGTTACTTCACGTTTTCAGAAAACCCTGCCCTGATTCAAGAAAAAGTCAAATTTTTACCAAAAAGTCTATTTTGGTAATAAATAAATAAATATATAAATAAAAATAAAAAATTGTTACTAAACAGTAATAATTTGAATCAAAAAATAATAAAGCCAAAATCTGATTTTTTTCCCCCTTTTTTTAGAAGAAGTATAGTTTGAGGCAAAATCCACAACAAAAGTCATATTAAATAATCACTATACTGGTGTGCATTTGAAGCCATCATATCAATTCCAAAATAATTCAAGGCTAAAGTTTCAGGATAAACTCAGAATATTTTTAAGTTTCTTCATGAATTACCCCCCTTTACCTCTTTTTTTGTATTCGCTTATTTTGTCACAAAGGTTGGGGGGAAATTAATGGAAAACACCAGTTGTAATGTAAAACTTTTTTTTCTTTTTTGAAAATTCTAGATTAAATCTGAGATCTTATTATTAATTAATAAAATTGTAATCTTTTTACTTTAAAAAGTGTTTTAAAGGTAAAGTACAATTCAAAGATGAAAATCATATTTTTTTAATATAAAATTATAAAATCTGATAAAATTTATCATTTACCCATTATGCCTACCAACTGACTGGCAGCCTGTCCAGAGTGTATCCAGCCTCTTCCTCAGTGACAGCTGGGAGAGGCTCCAGCCCTCCTGTGATGTTAAACTGGATGTTTTCTGTATTTTCTTTAGTTAGGCATTGAATAGTATTTGCCATTTACCATTTATGGAAATATTTAAAAACTTATTTAAGTGTTTCTTCTTCAATCACCTTTTCCACATTGCAATTAATCATTATTTATTATTAATCTCTGGCTATCTTCCACAGCTAGTCTTTATCCTGTCCTTCCTGTCACTCTCGATCAGTGTTTCCCAACCTTTTGGAGCTATTTCACGTTAGAAAAATCACACGGCACACCACCAAACAAAAATGTCACAAAAAGCATATTGATAATTTTTCCCCATGCACCAGGTATAGTGAAATTGACTCGGTTTGTCCACAACAGAAATGGGCAGTAGTGCATTACAAGTAACACGTTACTGTAATCCGATTACTTTTTCAAGTAATGAGTAATGTAAGGGATTACTATTGTAAAAAAAGACATTAGATTACTTTTACTTTCCTGTAAGCACGCTGTGTTACTGCGTTACTAAACTGTCATGATTTTGTTTGTGAGAGTGTCTCATGACAATGAAGTTAAAAAAAATTATAATATTAAAACTAATAAAACAATTTTTAGAAAAAGGCTTTCCATTTGATTCAATTTTATATGATGGATTATGCATAAAAAATAGAATTGGCCTGAAAGGTCTATTGCTTTTTTATGTATTCAGGTTGTGTATCATGTTTTTGAAAAGTAACTAATTACTTTTGAAAATAAGTAATCAGTAAAGTAACGGGATTAATTTTTTCAATAAAGGAAAAACTTTAGTAAGAAATTACTTTTTTTTTTTTTTTGTGTCCCGTTTGGATCTTTGGCCATCAGAATTGTTGTCTTAAGGCCAAGAAAGATGCCAAGCGGATTTATTTTACCAAGTGGATCATCATGGCCTTGCCATATTGGTCCATTTGATTGACCTTTATTATAA